TGTCTCAAAATCGAAATCCTGCATGATCTCGAGCCATCGGGACAACTGCCCCGATGGCTGGTTAATTCGTAGGGCATACTGCAACGCTGCATGATCTGTACGGACGGTGAAATGCCGGCCGTACAGATATGGCCGGTACTGTTGGATAAAGAACACGATAGCCAACAGTTCGCGGCGGGTGACGCAGTACCGCTGCTCGGCCGGGGACAGTACTCTACTACCATAAGCCACAACGCGCTCCACGCCACCCACAATTTGTGACAGCACGCCTCCAATCCCGGTATTGCTTGCGTCCGTGTCGAGCACGAACGGCATGGAAAAATCGGGGTAGCTTAACGGCGGGGCCCCCACCAGGGCATCCCGAAGAGAGACAAAAGCGGCGTTCTCCACCGGCCCCCAATGAAATTTGACCCCTTTTGACGTCAAGGCATGTAGTGGCTTAGCGATGGAAGCAAAGTCCGCAACAAACCGGCGGTAATATGAAGCAAAGCCGATGAAGCTTCTAACCTCCCCCACCGAGGTGGGAATAGGCCAGGAGCTGACACAACGCGTTTTGGCGGGATCGGTTGAGATACCTGACCGGCCGACGATGTGACCCAAATATTTAACAGATTCGCGCAGCAAATGGCACTTTTGTGGCTTGAATTTCAAATTAGCAGCGCGCATTTTGAGAAGGACGGCCCGAAGCCTATCAAGGTGTTCCTCGAACGTCTTACTGAATACGATAACGTCATCCAGGTAAATCAAACACACCTCCCATTGCAAGCCAGCGAGGACCAATTCCATCAGGCGCTGGAACGTCGCGGGAGCAGAGTGTAATCCCATGGGTAAGCGATTGAATTGGAAGAGGCCGTGCGGCGTTCGGAAAGCTGTTTTGGGCCTGGATTCGTCGTCCAAGGGAAGTTGCCAAAATCCTGAGAGCAAATCCAAAGTGGAAAAGAATCGCGATCCCGCGAGGGCATCCAGCGATTCGTCCATTCGAGGAAGCGGATAAGCATCGGCCACCGAGATCTTATTTAATCGCCGGAAATCAACGCAGAACCTTAGGGACCCGTCGTGCTTTTTGACCAACACTATGGGTGCACCCCAAGGGCTGGTCGAGGGAGAAATGATGTCCGATTTCAACATGTCATCTACAGCCGATTTGACATGATCCTTTTCGGCGGGACTTAACCGAAAAGGATTTTGGCGGATAGGAGCGTTGTCACCGGTGTCAATATGGTGGCGTAGCAATTTGGTACATCCGATATCGTATTTGTGTTTACTGAAGACGTCGGAAAATTCTCGCAATAAGGCGCGTAATCTAGCACGTTGTGCGTCAGACAGGTCAGGTGACTCAGCACACAACGCATCCAGCCAAACCTTGTCAGCGTCTGAGGCTAATCGCGTTTGAGAATCGGTGGCCACCTGGCCAATGATCGGCGTTTCCGCAGGTACCGGAACCGCATGTGCGAACACGGTACCTTGCGAAACCACTGCCGTCCGTGTCCCGACATTGAGGACCGCGATAAACGGGTCCCCATCCCCTTTAACAATAGTCTGGGCCGTCACCAGATCTGGCCCACTCACCCCGGCTCTAGATGGTCCCAAAATAACGCCCCGGTCAGAGACTCCTTTATCGAACGGTCGACGCAAGCGCAGGGGTACCAACATCTGTGCCCCCGGGGGTACACGCACCGTCCGAGCAACAAGCGCCTGTACCGTAGCACAGGCAACACGCACGGCAGGGGTGGCAGGTAGGAACGTCATACGTCGGCCCGATGGAAGCTCGATGCATTGCTGGTCAATCAGAATTTTGATGGGCAATTTGGCCAAAAAGTCTGTCCCCAACAGGCACGGAATAGCCAGCGAGGAGGAGACGAACACCGGGCCAGATAGTTTAATGTCCCCTATCGAAATTTGCGCTCGAATTTGACCGATAATACCCAACGAGCCCCCATTCGCAGCGTAAAACGGTATATCGACAGGGAGCAACGGGCGACTCTGAACGGGCAGGATATTATAAATCAAATCTGAAATGATAGTTGCCGAAGCTCCCGTATCGACCAATAGCCGTACCTCCACCCCGTCAATATGCCCCGCGACAACGGACGACCCCGCTGATGCAGCCACAACTCGGTGAGCCAACTCGGACCATTGGCCCGGTTGGAGCGCCCTCCCCGACATGCCGCGACCCGACGCACCAGCACCCAACCCCCGAGAATTGTGTATCGGACCATGTGATAGGAAAGTGGGTGTGTGTGCAGGCCGAACATGTGGGGTGCCATGACTTGCCCGAGGATGTTGCGAAGGCTTGTGAGGAGGGCCGTCCGCAGCTCCAGGTCTCGCACCGCGCTGTCGAGGAGCCCGGCATCCGGACGCCACGTGGCCCCGGAGGCCACAATTATAGCAGACGACGAGCGTTCCAGAGGACTTGGGCTGGTCTCGGTGGCTTGGAACGTCCCGAGCCGGTCGCTCGGCAGATCGCCATCCTGCAGAACGATCCGCAGCGAAGGCTCCCTCCATTCCAGAAGAGGTTGCCGCCACGGTGTGTCGTGCAGCAGCTTTGTTCGCCTTCCTCCGCTGGGAGATGAGATTGGCGTGAATGTGCCTTGCAGCCCGCAGTGATGACATATCCGCATCGTCCTGCGCTAAGATGGTGAAGTCCAGATCGTCAGCCAGCAGCAAAATTTTCTCGGCCACCATCGCATCGATCCCCTCTTCATCCATACGCGGGAAAGCGTCTTTCGCCAATGACAGCAGGGCCGTGCGATAAGCGAGTGGCGATTCCTTATCACCCTTCTGCCGTTCATAGAAGAGCTGGCGACAATCGGAGGGCGGCCCATAAACGGTGGCCAGCAGCTGCAGCGCCGACTGAATGGTGGAGCGTGCCGACTTGGGTGCAGCAGTGAGGGTGCCCAGGGCGTCGCCGTCCAATAACGCCGGGAGAGCACACAGCGCCTCGTTGTCCGACCAGCCTGCCATCTCTTGGTGGGCCAAGAACCGGCGCTGGAACCCCCCCCAATCGCCGTCGCTTGCAACAAATACCTGTAGGGCCGGCAGGCGTTGCTGGAATGTCGGCTCCGTCTCCGATCCTCTTGGAGCGTCTCTTGCAGCATCCGTAGCGCGTCCCCGTACTGTATGGTCGGTGCTGGCGTCAGCTGGTGGTGACGTTTCAACCCCTGATAGGCTGCCACCGCGACCCGCCTCCGCCGATGACGTGGCGGCTGCTGGCTGGGCACCGTCTCCCGCGTGACGAGCTGGGACTCCTCCCTCCGCCCCTACTGTCTTCGTGGCGGGATTTTCGAGTCGCCCCGCTGTTGTAAAGGCGGGAGTTTCTGGCGGGCGTTGTCCATCTTCCCGCCGCGTCGCTCCTCCCGGCCCCAGGCGAGTTATTTGTTCCAGCATAGCGGCCGCTGCATACAAGAGCTCCGCCAGCCGCGAGTGAGCCAACGCCAACTCGTCAGTCGACGTCCCGGCCCTCTCCGACGGCCCCGCCGATGTCGGAGCCGGCAGCAGTTGTGCAGGTACGTCGGCGGCGATGTCTTGCACTGCCCCTCCCTCGTCGTCATCCTCTCCTGGGTCTTGGGCACGAGTCTTCCGTCTCGTATCCATGCTTGGCCCACTTCCAACACCAGATGTAGTAAGTTGATGAGGAGACGATGAGGAAGTTGAGACACACTGTTTATTAACTCCGGGACAGATACAATAGTTGAAGGGGTATCGGCCCCTTCACCCGTACTATGGGAAACCCACCCTAGTACTAAGCCCTCTGTCCTGTCCCCCAGTCCTCCTCTACTGGGCTACGGGAGGCTGACTGATCTGGCCCTGGCAAGCACAGATCTCGGCACCAGCTAACCAGCCTTGCCCTGATAAGGGCAGCGGTCTGGAAGCTCTTGGGCCGCGCCACTGGCTTACCCGGCTCGGCCCTTATAAGGACGGCGAGACCGGGGAGTCCCAGGGCCTAATCTCCGAGTCTTGGATCTTCACTGGTCAGCTTCGTGTCGAACTGCCTCGAGCTCTTTGGGTTCCACCTTTTATAGGGATCGCCTCCGAGGGCTGGGGGCGTGGGCAATAACTGATGCGGACGTCGGTGTGACCCCCCGTGTATGTGAGTGCCGACAGCCCTGTGTTTGTTGTCCGCCGTTTCTCCCGTAATAACCCCTACACTTGTTTTACATTACAGTGTACTGAAGTGTCTCTTGGCTGCAGGTGTGCCATTAACCCAATAAACACACGGTGCATATGATAACATGGATTCTTGCACACGTACTTTGACGCGTGTATTTTGAGCTTACAACTCAATAGTTACCAAGAATCAATTCATCATTCTCACCCTGGTACCCACTGATGCATAAGCTACCTTGGTGTGGAAGCGTGTGTGTGTATGTACGTGTGGATCAGTGGTAGTTTGGACGTAGTGCTACAAACCCGGAGACATTAATTAAATTCCCAGCCACAGCTCACACGGTTGACATCGGTTCGATCCTAGCCGTGTAAAACATTAAGCCGCACGCTGACTCCAAACCCTTGGTGTGAACTTACTTCCCCCCCCAACACATAAATTACGCCCACTCGCATGGCAAACCCATGTAGAGCCGATGAGCCGCTTTAATCAAAAGTAATCGACTAAAATTTATAATCGACGACTTTTTTTGGGTGGTCAATATTAACCAAGGCCGTTTAATAAAAAATGGCCACACTCCCAGCGCCACGTGACTGATGATGTCGATGACATCATCAAGCCCCCCCCACCCACCCATTGTCTCCCATGCAGCGGCGCACGTGGCAAGAGGTGAGACTTTTGTCCAAATATTGTCGTGTTGTCTTATCGGTCGAGTCATCGGTGTCTTAAAATCGAGTAGCCCCGCTCTAAAATGCAAGCATACGTAACGAATACAACATTTGGTATTGCCCTCCTGCCCGGTGCTTTATTTTCCACGCACTGCCTTCACACATCCTTCTCTGTCTCTGCCCATGCGTGCGTGTGCGCGCGTGTAACTGGTGCCGCCCTTTCCCAGGTGACGTTCTTCACGCTGCTGTCCGGCGTGTGCGTCATGCTCAACCTGGCGGGCTCCATCCTGTCGTGCCAGAATGCGCAGCTCGTCAACTCGCTCACGCACTGCCAGCTGGTGGGTGCACACAGCGAGCGGCTGAGGGCAGCGGTTCTCAAAACGTGTCTTGGCCAGCGGACCACTCAGCCGATGCAAACATTTCCACGGGCCCCACACAGCCCCCTCCCCCCACCCCACTCCTTGTGACAATACGAATTCACTTCTCTCTAAATACCAGAACTACTAACAATGATTCATACTCTTTGATTTTGTCGGTAAAGTCACGTACGTAAAATTTTTAATGAAAAAACAGCTAAATTAAATCACGACGTTTCGGAGGCAACACAAGCTTCCATTTTCAGGTGGAACCATCACAGTAATTTTGCTAATTTAGTTGTTTTTTCATTCAAATTTTTAACTACGTGACTTTACCGAAAAAACCAAAGAGTACTAACAATGATTCATAGAATGTATGTATGTTGAACTTTTTTCACACCATACGTAGCCAATCGAAGGTTGAACGCAGCAATGATGGGGGGTTTTCTGGAAGGCGTGGGGGTGGCGTGTAGATCTTGAGGTTAGGATAGTTTAATCAGCGTAGTTTTACCTCAATTAATGTTTAAAAATGTAATATCATACAAAAATGAATGTGCGAAACAATACGGATTGACGCTGGTCATTATCGTCCGGATCAGCCTGCATTTGCATCACGGCCCCACGGTCCACCGGGAGGACCGTCTCAGACCACCCGGTGGTACCGGGGGAACCGCGCTCTGAGAACCCACTGGGCTAGGGTCACCGCAACATTCCGGTCGATACTCAGTGGTCGAAAGGTAAATGTAGAGGTCCCGTGCAATGAAAGCTATTTGTCCTGCAAGCCCACGTTCATCGCCGCTCCCGTCACTGTGGAAACGTCGTCCTATAGGAATAGGAACCGCTCCTGCAAGGCGCGCGCCGGTGTAAGGCTGTTTGGTCGTTCTGAGCAGTGCTGGCGTGCCTTACCGTTGTACAGCGGCACATTCCCACCGTTGCCAATGCTGCTGCGTACGGTGTGTCGAACGATATACGATTCCGTGGTAAATGAGAACGGCCGTTTTACAAACATACGTGTGGCGTGATCATTGTTGCTCGTTAGTTTTTATCTCGCACATTTTACTTCCTAAGGAATGACAAAATCTGTAAATAAAGTTGTATGTAAACAGATGTCACCTAAATTTTATTTAAAGCTTTCGTGACTGCAGGGATTCATATTCTTGGTTCTTTCGGTAAAGTCACGTAGAAGGGAAATAATAAAATAATATAAATATAAAACAATTGTTTTATATTTAATATTTATATTATTATATTATTATAAATATAAAACAATTGTTTGTAATTGTTTTATATTTATATTATTTTATTATTTCTCTTCTACGTGACTTTACCGAAAGAACCAAGAATATAAGATGTCACCTATTGAAGTGGTTGTAATGAGGAAACGTTTGCTTATATGATGTCGTCATTTTCCGCAAGTTCACACTCAGCGCGTGCATTGTAGAGGCGTTTAAACATCGTGGCGTTGCAATGATTAGGAGGCTAGCGGTGGGCTCGAGGCTTGTGGCGGCGCACGAATCCGGTATTGGGACGTGCTTCAACCCAAAGTGCACGTGGCTCAGCCGTCCTTGAGCAGCAGGGGTTTAACTTGTCAGCGGAGGGAAATGCTGCTGCTGCTACTGCTGCCGCTGCCATCACGCACCCAGGGCTTTCGCGGCACAACACGGAGCACCTGGCTTGAGCGGTGCTCGGGAAAGACCAGCTGCGCCCTGTTTGTATTTCGAGAATCCCAAATGAGAGGTCGATCCGACGGAGGTAATCCCGGCTGAAAATGAATGCTCTGGGCTGCGTGCATATTTACCCGGCAGGAATGGAGCGCGTGGCGCAGGAGGGGTGGGTGGGGGGGGGGAGCTCTCTCCCGCAGGCTGTGGATGAGTCTCAGGACGAGCTCGAATGAGAAACGCGATAGTGAACAGTCATCTATCGAGCGCTAATGAGTGATGCGGCGCTGCCGAAAGAGAAGGGGCTGCTGTTGCTCGCCGTGACGCACACCAATACAGTGGTGCGACGGTGGGGATGTGTGAAGCAAATAGACGCGATTGCATCTCTCAAAGCATTTTTTGCTGTAAAATGTCATTTGTAATGCGCCTCCACGCACTGCGTATTTTCTCTTAGTATCTCGTATTTCATGTCCATCTGAAACGCCACCCATTGCCGTAATTAGTAATTGTTTTGTAATTAATTGTATTCATGCTTTTAACAATTAATATATCTGGTCTCTTCAAACAGCATGATATCAGGGTTTTCTCTGTACGTGTGTGTAGAGTGCATCACTGGTGCATGCGTGCGTGAGTGATATCAGTGCCTCGATGCTTTTTATGGCAACACGCTTTATTATCGGAGTGCTTTCATTGCTACGTGTGTTTTGTATGCGCCACTGCTGCAGTGGAAATGGGGGGCGCGTTCACCCACACGCCCAAATATCACTGCTCGTTCGAATCGAAATGCTGAGAAAACCCATAAAATTTATGTGTGTAGACCGGACACAAATGGATTTAACGGCACACGCAGAAGGTGTGCGGCTCACAAACAGCAGCAGCAGAGAAGGGCTCAGAACATCGTCCATACACATGTGGCGGTCACATGACCTGCAGGCAAGGCAAGATGGGAGTTGTGCCTTCCTGCTGTTGGTGAGCACACGTCCGTGGGTTGTTTATGGGGAGCGGTAGTGTAGCGGTTAGTGCGCTGCGTGATGCATCCAACGACCTGAGTTCGATTCCCGCTGACGGTCAACACCAGTGACGATTATCTTAACCGGATCTGCGCCTCTCCTAGGTCGACTCAGCCTCAAATGAGTACCTGGTGTGTAAACATCGCCACGAGGGAGACAAAGGCGACCGGGCATGGAGCTGGCCACCCACCCCGTCGTGTGCCGTTGCCGGCCTTCGTTAACAGCACTTGCCCCAACAGTTTGTTCGGGCTACACGGGGGAATCTTTGCCTTTGTTGCCGTGGGCTGTTAAATCGGTCTCCGCTAGTTCAGCACCGCAGTCATAACGCGTCCGTCCGTCTGTCCGTCCGTCCGTGCGCAGGTAAAGCCGGGAGATGACGGCGTGTGCGTCTGCTGCGAGCGGCAGCAGACCGGCGGCTGCACCAACCTGGGCGAGACGGTGCGCCTCAACCCCCTCCAGGACTGCAGCACCATCCGCCTGGCTCTCAAGGTGCGGGCGAGGAGGCTCGAGCCACCGCTCGTGTCGACGCACACAACGCGTCGACGCACACAACGCGTCAATGCGGAGGGTCGCGAGCCTGCAAGGCCTCATGGGCCGAATGCGACCCGCTGCTTCGTGTGTCGAGATTTCTCCGGAGCAATTGTTGGCGCCAGGCTCACCGCCCGGCAGCCGTTCCGGCTCGCGTCTCTGTGGTTCCCCGGCGATTGTGAGATGCAATTTGTGTGAACGACTGCCTATGAAATTGATCGTTAGATTTTTTGTTTTGTTCTCCCGCCTGTGCCTTCGCCAGGATCTCCTGTTCAGCGTGTGCGCCCTCACCATCCTGGCCACCATCGTGTGTGCGCTGGCCACCGCCATGCGCTGCGTGCAGATCATCACCGCCGACGTCATACACATGGTGCGTTGCCCCCAGCACACCCCCTCGCCCGCCTACGTCCCATTGCAGCGAGTAGCACTGCCGGGCTAATGAGGAAACCTGTCGATGAAGTGATTCATCCTTAAAAAATACTTGTAAATTTACCATACGTGGACTAAATCGTGCAAGCAAGACTCGATTATTGGCATACATTGTGCGTGTGTTGTATTGAGGACGCTGCTGTGGTGTGAAGGGTTAGCTCACTGGACTTACAATCTGGAGGTTGCTGGTTCGATGTGATTACTCGGCACGGCAGTTGCATCTAAGAGTGTAAGTTTCTTAAATGCCCCCCCACCTTTGTCCACCCGGCAGTATAAATGAGTACACCACAGTTAGTCGATCGGCAAGTTGCGTGTGGTGGGGTGAAGTGTGAGTCCTCCCACCCCTTCTAAGACGTTCTGACCGGTGTGGAAGGGTAGGCCAAATACACTCGAGATGGCCTTTTTAGAGCATCTCCCTTGCGGAGGCCTTTACTTTACTCATTATGGAGTAAATGCATTAAATGAAGAATTGATTATTCGTGCATGCTGCGTCTAATCGTTTTGTGTGACCACTGCAGGCCGCTAGGTTCTACCCTTGGATCGAATCGTGACCTCCAATTGTTACAATTTATTTCACCGCGGACGCTTAGATGCGTATTCATAATAATCCTGCACCATGTCACTTAGGAGCAATAATAATTAAGATACCGCTGTGACAATCTCTCAAAGATAATTTTGCATTGAATGAAAATCCATTTGACGCCTTTCATTAATGAGCCATTTGTCAGTGTGATTATTAAAGAAATATGTTGGGTCTATCGCTCTCCTCAGTTTGTACCACAGCGGTCTTCACACGTCCAGCATGACTGCTTGAACACCCACAACTCGTTGGTGCACCAGACGGTGGACTTTGAGGAGTTTGTGCCACCCATCCCTCCTCCGCCTTACTACCCTCCCGAGTACACCTACACGCCCGTGATGGACGCGAATCGGTGAGATGACCTCCGCGTTTTTGGGGCGCGCCGCGCTGACGGGATGTTATCACCCTCGCCTCGTATACAGGAGGTCGTGTGTTCGATCCTGACCCTGACACCTGGATATTTGGAGTTTGAATGTTGTCCTCGTGGTCGCGTGGATTTTACTCCGGGTTCTCCGGTTTTTCTCTCCACATTTAAAAGCGTGCATTTAGAGTATTTGGCTGCTACAGATTCCGACATGATAAGTCACTTCGTTCAGCTGTCATTTGTGGGCACTTGTGAAAAAGAGCTAGAAAGCTCAGTGGGCCTTACCTAGTAAAATCTAATTATTGTAGTAGTATAGTTCGTATATGACCAGAGCATTGCGAGGATGACCGGATCCTCGGAGCGTAGCAGTAATGCATGCGCCTGCTGGTTATTTCAGTGTTCCTGTGTCTTCGCAATGTTACTTTTTACAAAACATGAAAATAACGTGTTTATGTTTTATACTCTAACCTAAGAGTATGAATCCTTGCAGTCATGAAAGCTTCCAATCTAGAATGTTTATGTTTTCTTACACATGGCACAAAGGCAGGTTTTTCTTGGCTCCTCCTAATTTAGTTTACAAGTAATTCATTGGGTATACTTAAATATGTTTTGAGGCTTTGCAGAATGAGCATTGTGGGATGCTGTCGGCATGAATGACGGTATATAAAATGAAAGTATTATAATTTTTTTATATTATTAACTGTACGAATGGGTTTCTGGTGCACAATGTGTTTAGACATTGCAGTGGAACTTGCTGTCTGAATGATTAGTTTGTGTGTCTCGGAGTGAATGGCATTCGGTGAAGCCGGCATGCCTGCGCATGCCTGGCAGATGCAGAGACGTTTCCTTTTTTGCTGCCTTCACAATGCCCGCGTTGTCATCAGACGAGGGCGATTTGAAATAAGATACACTGAAATTAACGCGTGACATCCTGTCAACTCTGACTCATCACGATGAATAGCTGAACATCTTAGGAGAGGATCTCGTGGGTTGTTTTGTTCAATATATGCGTCCACTTATTTATTTATTCAAGAACATTACACTGAGTCTCAAGAGGGTGGGATGTTTTGCCACTTCTCTCGCGAAGAAATGTGTGCATGCGGGGAAGAAACACGACACAATAACCCGAATGAAACCCACACAGATACTTGGAACACTCAAGGTCTGTACTGTAGGGCTCAGCAACCAACGTTCTCGACTGCTATCTAATGACCACCTCGCCAGCCCTGTAGATCGGTGTCTCGCACATGCGGCGATGTTTTCGCAACCCACCGACCGCCCTCTCTCAACGTACGTGAAAGTTACAAGTATCTCCGTGGGATTTAATTATTGCAGCAGCTGCATACGGTGGGTTAAATCTCGATTCTTCGTGGGTGGATGAGCCGTGCTTGCGTGGAAGTCAACCAGTGGATGTGGTCCCGAGGCTAGACTCGACCGTGGAATTTCCACCACCGGCTCAGGACCGTGAACAGGAGCTGAGCACTTGCGCCTCAGTGCTTATTTCAGACAGAAACCACCGACCTTCTTTTAAAATCGTATTTGCTGCTTGCGGGGGCGGTCGATGTGCCGATTTAAAAGCTGGTGTTTATCTTTTGGCAGAACGTCGCGGCTGCACCTGATCCACTGTCCCTATGACATCTGCGTGCCACGGGTCGGGTGCGAGGCCGTGTACCCCGGGGAGCTGCCGCCCCCATACGAGGCCGTCGTCGCCCAGACCCGTACCACCCAGGTACGCCTTCGTCAGCCCCAAGGCCACGCGGCCCGTGTGCGTGCAGTGTGGATTTACAGCGGCGGCAGCAGCGGTGGGGACTCTACAAACCTGGCCCGCGTATTCATCTCTCACGTGGCCTTCAGCTTAACTTCATACGGCCCCACGAAATGGCCCGTGAATGATATCTTATCCGTCGCTATGAGCATCTTAGTCTTGTCTTATCGAGATTTATATAGCACCTTTACCAAGGCGCTGTACAGCAATTGGGCAATTTGTGCATGGGATGATCATGATTTTCAAAGAAGAATTGGGCTATTGCCAGTGGTGGTGTAGTTTTGATGCGGTATAGGCCTGCTCGTAGCTGGGTTGTGACAGAACGCCGGGGAAGGGGGGTGTGGGGCGGGAAGCGAGGAGGCATCATTGCATTGGGAAGCCAAAGGGGATCGGCGAGGGGCAGGAGCCCGGAGGGCGAAGGGGGCCCCTGACCTCACTTCACACGACCCCGTGTCTTCAGTTCATACGGCTGGCCCGTTTTATACGCCATACGAAACCTCAGTTGTAAATTTCATGAGATCTGCTGCCACGAAGCCTTCCGACTACGAAACAGCCCGCGAAAGGTATTCATCCAATGCCGAAAGCATCTCAGCCGCACTATTTGAGTCCTACTGCGTTTCTAATTTTAGCACGCTCAGCCACTTCTGTCACTGCAAAGTCCTCTTTTTTTTACTTGGTTGGCAAGCACGTTTTTTTTGGTGTTATTATTGGATAATGCTAAGGTGTGTGTTATTAATGTCACCCGCCAAAGGTATTGAAAAGTCCCATTCACCCAAAGTTAGGGCATTTCCCCCTCTCCTGATTTAGAGTGATGGCAAAGGCGTGGGAAGGAGCAGTGAGGCATGATTCATGCCTGCGTTGCTTTGTACCTGCCAGAGTGGTGGACTTTAACACAGAAAGGAAGTGTCTGTTTTTTGCAGAAGATGCTTGGAATTTCATAGCAGGATAGGGTAAGCAACTTGGAAGGATCATGTCAACGTAACTCGGAGGAGTGGAGGAGGTTGTAATGGGTGGGCCGGATGTGGAGACAGGTGAAAAAGACAGAAATTGGAGCGGGCACCCAGAGGTCAGTGACCCAGGGATAGTAAGAGAGGACCATTGTATAAGTGGAACTTCGGGGTCAAGGTGTCAACTGCTCAATAGTTGTGGGATCTATCAGAAGACGCAACGGAGAGAGGGTTCGCGGTGTCGAGCGACAATGGCTGCAATGACCTCTCGACCCTGACCCCTAACTCAAAGGTGTTTGACCCCCATCAATGGCAATAAAATTCCGTTAGTACATTCACGATGTGAAACAAGATTGTTGTACGCATTCTTTGTTTCCCCCATGTGCATAATGAGTGACGATCATAAACCATTTGTCAGGTTATGTCAGTGGATTGTGTTTTTTTTATCGTTTTGTTTGTCACCAAGAGACAGAGACATACATTCTTTATTTAAACGAGGCGTGGGTGAGAGTCTCTTTCAATGGAGGCCTTTTGTATGTGAGTAGCAGAGGTGGAACGGTGCCTAGATTAATCGTGTAATACCGGTTCATAAGCTCCTGACCCACGCAATGGATTGTGCACGTTAGTTATTTATATTTTCCGTTTCGTACGTATTTTGCACCTAATGGGTTCATTTCAACCCTGCAGCCAGTAAAGGCAGTTACCCACTCACTGCTCTCTTAAAAATAATCAATTCTTGAATTGAATTGTGGACCTGACTCACAACAATTCATAGAGTCGCCATTGTGGGTATGGGGAGATATGAATCAATCTACCACACATATGTGTTTAGGCACTCCAGTGAAAATGTCCTTATTTTTGTAGTTTGTGTGTATACATATAAATAACATGGATTGCAGAACATATAAAAAAGTACAACTAAACTATTTAATAGTTTTTTTACTAGGTAAGGGCCACTGAACTATGTAGCTCTTTTGCAGAAGCGACCTGGCCACAAATGATATCTCAACGAAGTGGCTTATCATCACGTGGACATTTTATACCAGCCAAATACGGTACTCTAAACGCATGTTTCTAAATGTAGAGGGAAAAACTGGAGGACTCGGAGAAAAATCCATGTGACCACGGCGGGAACATGCAAACTCCAATTTTCCAGCAGACATCAGGGTTGGGAGCGGATCTACGACCTCCTGTATACCAGACGAGGTATTTAACATCTCGCCACTGCTGTGCCCCAAGAAGGCTTGGGCAGGAAATGTCACTAAAAGAGATCATGGCTGGCGGTCCAGACTATTGAGGGAGAAGCAGCCGAAGGTGGGAAACAGCCCGAGAGGACGTCTGTTGCAGAAATGAAGCGATTATTTTATTGTGCGTTCAGGAGTTATACGCATCGTTGCATCGCGAGACCGTGAGAGATGATGACGGCTGGTGAAGGCCTTCAGTCCAGGAGTGGATAGATCATGATGTAGCTGTTATTATTTCCATATAGATGCAGTGCAGTGCTTCATAATTTAGTGCATTATCCATCAGCAGCAGCAGTAGCAGCATTAGAATTCTTTTTAAACATTTAATTTCTCATTCAGCTTTTGTAATTGAATAATGGCATCGCTTGATTAGCCTATTGAATTCTCTCATCAAGCCTACGTGGCAGTGTGACTCCCCACTTGAGATTGCCATCAAAGTGTCAAGTGAATTTATTGTCTCAATGTGCGACCAGGTAGTTAATGAAAGGGTAGTCGAGTGCCTTAGCTCCTTGGAAAGTGGCGGTCTTCGCCGCTATCTCTCCGCTGTGCTGTCCGGGTTGTACTACGGCGTGTTGTTCGGCGCCACCTACGAGCGCTGGGGGCTTCTTCAGCAACCGAATCGAGCAGCTCCCAGGGAGGAAGTCACCTTCCTGCTGCTCAACCCCAGACACCGAAGAAGGAGCTGAAGAAGCTCCCAGCGTGCGGAGTGAAACGTCGGATCATCGTGCCGAAACAACACGCGGCACAAAACCAAAAACGCTTCGGAGAGCTGCACGGCATTAACCGCGAAAGCCTTACGCACCGCACGCATCAACGATGTGCTGCATCATTAAGGCCTTGTCTGATGTAGCCATAGTGAGTGTTTGTTATTTTTTTTCTTCCCTGACATCCTTGGGGGGCGGGGGTGGCTCGCAAAACGACCTGCGTTGCATCCTGCCGTAATCAACTTGCTGCCTCCAGGGGGTGTGGGGGGTGGAGAGGGTGGAAGTGGGGGGGGAGCTGTGCAATCGCATCACACAGGTTCTCCCCCCCCCCCCCCTGCTCGTGCTCGGAAGGTGACAGGTCGTTTTCTCACCCTTGAGCAGCCGGATGTGATCCATCAAGCGGCCGTTCTCACGCAAGGCCTGGAGCCGGGCACGGGGGAGCCGGGCACCCAGGCGCGCAGATTCTCAAGCGACGGTGAGACACCATAATTGGTCTCCGGAGTGCAAAGCTTGGAGCTTGAAAACTTTTAACCTCCTTCGTTTGGAGCGGCATTAAATTGGAGCGCGGCTTTTTTATTAACTGGATGTTTTTTTCTAAATTGTTGCTCGGGCGTTAATTGTGCGCAGAAAAGTTTATTTGCTGCAAGATGTACGTGCCGCGTGTCTCGGTAACAAGGGTGTGTTATTTACGCGTTGACGAAGAAATATTTTTAAACCAAGTACGTTTCCTGGAAGGAAATTTGCCAGTCGTAATAGTACCACTTCGGGATAAAATGAGGTGCGCCGATTCATTAAATTCACTCTCTATGCCAACGTACGCACAGCCCAATTTGGCGGGCTGTGCGTACCTTGGCGTGCTGGCACAATGTGGCCTTGCATAAATGTCGTGCTGGAATCCTTCCCATAAATACAATCCCTTTGGTCTGTTTGATGGAATTTGTTAACAAAAATATAGCTGGGAGTGGCACGCGATTACCCAAATTGAAAACTATTGAAAAATCCACAGCGCTTGACTTGAGTCAGTGAGTAGCTGCACATGTCGACAAACGACATTGAATTTGACCTCAAGTTTTATTTTGGCCCGGCGCAGGAAACGTGGTTGGCAACGTTGCGGAGAGGCGGCTCTCGGAAGACTCGAGCGCGCTCAGCGGCCGATCCCTCGTTCACTTGCGGGACGTCCCGATGTACGGTGCGCTGCACGGCACGGCGCCGGATACCATCGCGTCCAGCCTCGAGGACACCGGCGGCGGGGGTGGCGGCGGGGGCGGCGGCGGGGGCGGCGGCGGCAGTGGAGGCCCCTCTGAGCCGGCACGGCAGAGGCCTCATGGGCGCGGCCGACCTCAGAGCCAGGAGAGCGGCCTGGTTCTGGCTCGCCACGCCACTGGCAGGCACTTTGGATCTCGGCGTAGCCAGGCCCGCAGGGCGGCCATCAGTCACCACGTGGAGGTGATCTCCATCTCGCAGCCGGTGCAGGAAGGGAAACGCGCCGGCAAAATGGACGCAGTGGACGACGCTCAGAACTGGAGGCCCACCAAACGCCACAGCGGGCTCATAGGGCAGAGCGTGAGCGTCGGGAACGCCGGGCAAACCCGGGACGTCGAGGGCAGCGGTGACGTGCGTCAGATTGCCACCTGCGGCTCAGACTCACAGCGTCGAGGGCGACGTTCAAGCGCTACAAACCCTCAACGGAACATCGCACGGTGAGGGCGAGAGGCGTGCTGCATCCAGTGAAACCAATGTCGCCGGCACGGAGCACGAGATACGGGACGTTACATTTGTGGAGGAAGTGGTGGACGGTACCGACACGAGACAACCGCAGCGCTGTGGTACGGAAGAGCAAACCCCGAACGCCACGGCCGACGAGCACGACGACGACGTGGATTTTCCCGGACAGAACTTTCGCCTCGGGGGCCCGTGCCCCGCGCAGGGGAGACAGGCCCTCGCCGTGGACACTGGCGTCGCGGAGCGAGCCGCGCGCGTCGAGGGTGGCGGGAGCCCGTGCCGCGATGCTTCGGTGTCAGTGGAAGTGCACGCGAGAGGGAGACACGGAGGAGGTGGAGGATGTGCCGTCGCCGCCGGCGTCCCGCCGTCTCTGCCCGCCGTCCCGCGACCGAGCTCACCGGACAGCAGCCCCCCGAGCGGCAGTGGCGGCGGTGGCGGTGCGGACGCGCGGAAGGGCGCGGGGTCGACGCCGGCGCCGGCGCAGCGCAGCAAGCGGGCCACGGCGCGCGGCGAGCGCGGTCACGCCAAGCGGCGGAGACGGAGCGGCGGTAGAGCGCAGCCGACGTCCAGGAACGCCGAGTTCCAGCCCGACTCCGGTGAGAGATTCCTTTTCCTGCGCCAGTGTCCAGTGTTGCTCAGCTTGGCTCAGTTTGAGCAATGTGTTGACACTTATCTGTCATACCTTCAATTGTGCTGTTTGGTGCTGACCACTTGGCGTTTCGGGCCTGTGATTAGAAACTCTACATTTGTTTAGAGCTGAGAAGGTAAGTGAATGAGTGTGGAAAATGATTTGAAAAATGTGATTTTAGGCAGTCACACAATCTTGGCATGGTGGTGCATGTGTAGTGACTGACTTGGAGACGTAACTTCTTGGTGGCAATTCTTTAATTAAACACCGAGCACACTGCTACACACTCTCTGCTGTTACACAACGCTGTCTCTCGCTTAAACACACATCTATACTGGTTGCTCGCCGTCCGACACTGACGGCGCTGAACTAAGAGAGCCAGCTGCTGCTAGCAGCGCAGTTACCAAGTGGACGGCGACAGCAGCGACGACGACGGCGAGGGGATCCCACTCCCAACGACAGCCCCGATTCCCCGCTCGGGGTCCCCTTTTATCCTGTCAGCGTGGCCGTGTCAGAGCGGGGCCACGCCCCCCTTCTGGAACCTACGAGCGGAGCTCTCAACGCGTCCCCTCCGTAACCTTTACCCTAGATCCCTCTCGGGTCCGTCACGTGGCCTGCTGTCAGTCAGGGCTTCTTCACTCTGCAGATCCCCTTCCCTGCCAGCAGCAAGCGCTATGCTACGTAGTGACCAATTCTATGTCGCTACACATGCATGCTTTCCGAGGCAATAATTGGTCGCTCTTGTAAGTTTATGATATTCCCAAATCCGATGGGCTGGAAGGAGGCAAGGAAGATGGCAGGACAGCAAATGGGTTTATGAATCCATTTGTGAGGACCTCTCAGCGTTATCCCGTCATACGTGTGAATGTTGCTCCAGACACTCTTGTTTCCTCCCACATTCAATCAGTCCTTAAAAAGTAATTTTCCAAATATCCCAATGATGGACCCTTCTGGAAGAGTCTTGAGGATTTACCTTGATCTCAAAGGGGAAAACCCAACAGTGTGTAGCATGTGCCATGCTTTTCTGATTCCTTTGGAAGCAGTGGGGAGAATGGAAAGTGGCCTTGTGGTTAGGGTTTCTCTGTCGTGTTGAATGATGGTACACTGTTATTCACTTGAAAAGTGCTGCACTATAATCTTGGAAACCGAGAGTCCGGGAGCAGTATTTTTTGTTTATTTTAAAATATTCCATGTGGCAGGCAGCGTGTATTTGCCATGCTGCGATCTGATGGAACAAGTCAGAGAGCCTAGATTAACTGAAACATTTGTTTCCCAAATTACGAACTTACAGGGCCGTGTCAAAACGTATGAAACACATGCCTATACAATGTTGGGCACGCTTCAAACTGAAAGCACGGCCAAAAAAATAAACACTCTGGCATGCACATTAGTTACTGTCAGCTCTTGAAAACTAGCAAATGGATACATGTGCTCGTAAACATGAGAATGTGTGCGAACGAAGTGGCTAAAGTAATCTTCAGTGTGGTTAAATAACCCTTATAACCGACACAGCCTGGATAGGCCCTCATTTACTAATGAATTGACAACGGGCTGCAGTAAATATATAGGGGTGGAGTGGTGGCGCATTGGTTAATGTCCTGCATTGTGAACCCAGCAATCCAAGGTCAATTCCCAGCCATGGAGAAGATCAGCAGTGGAAACTGATGTCTGGATCATTCCCAGGGCCTTACCCGCTTCACTAATTCCCACTCTACGGCGTGAAGTGTGGTGAGAAAATCCCTTTGACAAACTGTCTGCGCATGTTACTGAGATAAATAAACTAAACATTTTTTATAATATTTTACCAGGTAAGGCCCAGTTAGATATTAGATTTTTTTCAGAAGCGACCTGGCCACAAATGATAGCTCAACGAAGTGGCTGATCATTTGGAAATTTATAGCAGCCAAATACTCTAAACGCATGTTTCTAAATGTGGAGAGAAAAACCGGAGAACCTGGAGAAAAATCCACATGACCACAGAGAGAACATGCAAACTCCAGATATACAGGCGAGGGAGTTAACATTTGACCTCATGATGTTCTCAATGGCCTAAAATGCTGAAAGTTCTCATGCAAATATTGTTCTCTCTATGCTTACAATTGAGAACATTTTTGGGCCAGTTTGGTTTTCTTACCTTTGTATTTTTAAACCCAGATCAACGGAAATGTCAGATATTAAATACAAAAACGTCCATATTTGATCCGACTCCAGCCAACAAATTGGGGGAAAATATTTAAAAACATTTTTTTTAACCTCGGCATAGGTTCTGGAGGTTTTGGGTGAATGCCGAATCGAACATTTTTTTGTTAATGGCCGTGACTCTAGAGCCAGGAGAAAAAAGGGATGGAAGTGTGGAGAATTCCGATTGCAGTTACTCTACGAGTAAGACACGAAAATGAATGTCACTTTCATATGGAGAGCCTTTGTGGGGTAGGTCGAACGAGAACGAGTGGGCGTGATGGCAAACTACAAATTACTAACACAGCCTTTGCCTGTTGGTTAATTTTGGGACCTGCTTAAGTGAGCCCAACAGGTGCCCGACAGCTTTGCGCCCTATAGACACGGGCTGCATTTAACTGCTGCACCGACTGATTGATTGATAGGGCTTAATGACCGTTAACGGAATGCGGCTGCAAGGTTAACAATGTGTGGACTATGCTCGGCGAGTTTCACGCCCATGTAAGTTGAACCCTTTAAAATGTACTCGTTATCCCGCGAGTGATAGCCAACGACCACGTGTCGTAAACACACGAGAGAGCGCGTGCCCGCGTCTAACGCGTGTTGAATTTTTACAAATCGCTCGCTAGTGGCCATATGCTGTCCACTGTGTACACGTGGCGGTGTAACGTGCGGACGAAGAGGAGGCACACCCTGTACTGCGCGCGGATACAAACAGTTGTGACTTTATTAATTGCTCAAGGTTGTGAGCAGCAAGCGTTCAGGAAGCCGCGCGGCAACAATATGCAGGTTTTCAACGATAAAAGAGATATTATTTAATGCAACGTGTTTATAATATTGTATTATCGTCAGCCTCCCATGATCCAGCAATGCAACAATCTAATCAGCACATGTACAAGATTTGATTTGTATAGCTCCATCTCCCCGGAGGACGTACACTCAGACATGTTCCATCCCTTGGCCACCGCTCTGTTATTATTCTTTGACCTTCGACCATCATCCATTCTTGTGGCGTCTGCTGCACATGCCCACTTACTTTTCTCAACAGTTTTGAAAGGTTATCTTCAACGAGGCATATGTTGTCATTTTATTCCACGGATGCATCTCCCCATGCTTCTTTACGCACGTTCAGTATTTCGTTTTTTTTATTTGCATATTTGAATTTAACAATATCGGATAATTTTGAAATATTTCACACAAGCAGGATCTAGTACCAACGTTTGGGCCGTTATTTTGTTACACAGAACGTGCACATTCTTCCTTTTAATTCATGGCCATTGATCAAGCTGTTCGGTCGTGGGGGATGTTTGACCATATTTCACCATCATTTTCAGTGTGGGTTCATAGAGAAGTGGGGGGGGGGGGGGGGGGTGCCCGTACAGATTTACATATTACTCCCCACTGAGTTATCTGCATCTGGGAATCGAACTCTGGTCACAAGATTCAAAGTGCAGTGAGCGAGCTACTGCTCCACCCATACAGTGCATACAAAGACACGGCATACTCTTTCTCCCTGCAGGAATACACAGAAAAGCAACCGATTGTTTAATTCACAGCGAGTTTTCAATCCTGCAATCCGTAACTTACATTTGCTTTCATATAATCTCTCGATATTTGATCTGCGGTGCACACCTCGATGCAAATGTAATCCGTAAGCGGAATTCAAAGGTTTAGATGTGCATTCACCATTGGCCCTTTCCTCCTAACGCATAAAATTAAACCGCGTATTGGTTCATTGAAGTGGGCACGTAGAAAGAAAAAAAAACCCTGCAGTCATTTCGGACGTCTGTGAAAAGCTCCATTCTTGACTGTAAGTCGCGTATTGAATTCCAAGGGGGGATCAGGTGGCCGAATATCATAACAGTGGCACGGAGGACTGGAAGAGCTCGTTTTCCCCTCCTCTCCGCCGTGGCAGTCAGTGGCAAGGCTAATGGCTCGCGCGAGAACCAGATACTTTTAAGCGTGATTAATGAGGCCCCAGAAGACATCAATCAGACGTCGTATCCACCCTCCCCTCCTCCTCCGCCACGACCCGCCCTCTAAAGAGATGGGAGATGGCGCAGGGCAGTGGGTGATTAACCGAGAGATGAGTGAATTGTGCTGGCCTTTGTCGTTCGCAACATGAACACGAGTTGGCCGTTTTGGCTTTTTATTACGATTCAGATGAGTTATGTGTCATTAGCGATTTAAAAACAAGTTGAAGACGTAGGGCCTCTTTTAAAAAAGAGAAAATGTGGAAGTGTGTGTGTGTGTGTCTTCTTTCTTTCCGAGATACCAATTCAATATCCAGAATGGACGTGTGCGTTACAAATGCACAGGAATGAGCGTCGGCCGAAAGAGTATAGTTATTGTTATTATTATTTGTGAAAAGGCACGCACGCTGAAAATGAATTTGCAAGAGTGAAAACCGTTTGAATGACCTTTGCCACTGAAATGTATCTTCAAGTAGACATCAGAGTTGATATCCCTGGGGTAAGAAAAGAAAATACTTCTATGAATCGGTTACTTCTTTCCTGAAGAATTGCCATGCGCTTGGCTCCCCCACCCAACCAATGCCATTGTGCGTAATTGTTGACTTTCCAATATGAGCTAATGCACATACTTTCCGCTCCATTTATGCCCTTTAGAGTCGGGTTTAAATGTGCCCATCTCTGGGCAGGTTGCATAGCCATTTATCAAGCGGTCTGGGTGGTGAGCCTGCAGGAGGATCATTAGCTCCAAGCCTGGGCCACCCTGCCAGATGCTGTCGTTGTGGTTGGTTGGGTGAGCAGCTTAATTGGAGAAAGCCTAATGCACAAACGGAGATTTGACACTGAAACAAGAACCGCATTTTGCTTATTTACTCTCGATGTTGTGCTTGAATAGCAATAGCAAACACATGTGTGTTTTTTTTTAAGTTCCTCTGGGAAGATGTGTTCATTTAATTGTGGATTTTGGTTGATTGCTTGGGATTATGTTAGCTTAATTCCTCTAAAGAATACAACAAGTTGTGACGGTTTACTTTGTGAAAGCCATTTTTTCTGAGTAAAAAAAATGGATTATATATTTTAAATGACCCTTGTTCCTTGTCAGTGTTGTTTGCTCAAAGTAGAGAGGCGGGTTTCCGCAAATGTGGAAGCTACAAAGTAAGAGTTGTGTTCGGTCTATACAATGCGTCCTTTGTGCTCCTTTGTCATGCGCATTGTTACCTTCTTCTCCTTGAGCGTACCACACAAATGTACACACACACACGCGTATAATCTACGTCACTGTTTGCACATTATTTTAACCAAATGACGGCAGTATAGCTCACCGATGTGTTTTTTCTGGGTTGTACTGCATGCTCCTTGGCATGATGTCAGGGCCTAATTTCCCATTGAATATTTTCTGGGGCCCAAATGGCCTGAGGTTGGAGAGTGGTGGAGGGTCATAAATTAGGGGGTGCGCCAGATAATGTTGTGGAAATATACTCTGAACAAATATTTTCTGGAGTTTAGCTCCGCACAGCTCCAGCTGAAATTATGTCCGCTGCTACGATGTCCGATGTTTCGCTCCGCATGCTTCTTGTGCTAAACGTCGGACATCCTGCCGAACAACACTCTCTACAACCCCTTTGAAGCACATCGACGAGCCGCACAGCACAGCCCGGCAGCGTTTCACACGGTGTTCTCGTTTTCCAGACAGAGGTGGCCAGTTGAGCTCCGACTCGCTATCCCCTAACGTGGACGGAGAAGAGAGACTCTGCTGCGACGCGCTTGACGACATCCGCCCGTCCGAGCCGGAAGTCCGGAACGCCGGCACGGGCTCTGCACAGTCCTCTCGAACGAGTCCAATGCCGGAGGCTCTCAGGGAGCGGCCTCGCTCGCTCGTGGACCTGAAAACCTACGAGGACACCAAGATCCTCGTGTCTCGCTTCCTCGAGAGCTCCAGCGGTGACCTGCCGCCCGACGTACGTCACGTGGTCAACGACATCAAGTCCGTGATCGCGTCGGACGAGAGGCACATGGAGGAGGCGATCCTCAGCGCCAGCGTCCTCGATCAGGTAGGAACCTCGGAAACGACGTGGTACGAAGTGGAGAGCAATGCAGTGGACGTTGCCCGCTGTGTTCGATGTCGCTTCGGCATGGAACACGTCCGAGAGGACATCGTAGAGCTCCAGACCGACCGGAGGGCAGCTTGCCGCCATGACACTTTTCAAGTCAGCGTGAAGGAGAATTGTTCACACATTCCTGACGCGTTGCGATGTTAAGACGTATGTATTTAATTCAGAGTGTGTACATGCAATCTGAGTTTTTATTCTCAAATGAGTACTGGGTGGTGCTCATCTCTGCTGGTGGTCCTGAGCCAGCGGTGGGAATTCCATGTGAATGCCAGGCTTCAATCTCCTCCTAATAACAACCAATGTTGATGCGCCCAAAAACAAAAACGGTCCTAATTTTCTTGACCTCAGAGAGCTGATGGGTTGAGACAATACCCCAGAGGGATTTGAAGATCTGTGTACGTTGGTCTTAATTCTGCAGTTCTGATTGTCTGGAAAAAAAATCAAACGGGAGCAGTCGGTGAAAATTGAATAGATTTGCTTCTCACGTGTTGAATGTCAAAGTAGGACATCTTTTTTTGGTGACGAGATCAAAGCATTCGCTTCATATATAGCATCCGTAATCTTTAACATTCATAAAAAAATACCTTGGGCTATTGACAATTGCAAAAAAATCCACTCCTCAAATATAATTTAATGATTGCAGATCAGGCCTGCTTATTTTCAACTCTTCTAATTGATTGCACTGATAAATGCACTGCACGTTTTTTTCCTGTCTCTTTTGGGTTTAATTCTGATTACGTGCACTGTCTCTTTTGATTACATTTTGGAGCGGTTGCATTTTTTCAGTTCAATGTGAACGGCCAAAGGAGGTTTCAAAGAAACGCTACCAACCATGATTGCTTTTAACCGGTGCTCTACGCACAAGTTAAATTCCAATCATTTGCAATTTTGCTCCGTGAAAAGAAATCAGAAAAAAATGCCCCTTTATAATGTGCACATTTTAATAACCGGCGACTGTGAAACCCTACAGTGTCGTCATACATTTCTTAATTTGATTTTAAATCGATTTCATTGTTTACTTGAGCCATGCTTATAAAAACAAGACTCTCGTGGACATGCATAAAGTGGCAGAGAGCCAATGGAATAAGCAGCCTGGGCCCTGGAATGGAATCGTTATCTATTGAATATACTGTGTGCATTGAAATCCCCAACGTGATAGGGGTGTATTTTCTTTCTGCAGTTTGCCGTAGACCAAAGCAGTAATTTACTTATAACAAAAAGTGCACTTACAGGATTGAACGAATGAAAGTGATCTTAAGACATGTAAAAAAGTTAATAAATAGAAGGTAGGACGAGTGGGTGTATTACACCCGACGATGCACATCATATGTAACGACTCTGGACTCGAGCTGTAGAGGTTTCTTTTATTGCACGTGATGTAGCCTAGGACCACGTCGTCATGAGATAACGCCGACGTGAAGACAGCGACGACGTGAAGACAGCGACGACGTGAAGGCAGCGACGACGTGAAGACAGCGACGACGTGAAGACAGCGACGACGTGAAGACAGCGACGACGTGAAGACAGCGACGACGTGAAGATAGCGACGACGTGAAGATAGCGACGACGTGAAGACAGCGACGACGTGAAGGCAGTGACGACGTGAAGACAGCGACGACGTGAAGACAGCGACGACGTGAAGACAGCGACGACGTGAAGGCAGCGACGACGTGAAGACAGCGACGACGTGAAGGCAGCGACGACGTGAAGACAGCGACGACGTGAAGACAGCGACGACGTGAAGGCAGCGACGACGTGAAGGCAGTGACGACGTGAAGACAGCGACGACGTGAAGACAGCGACGACGTGAAGACAGCGACGACGTGAAGGCAGCGACGACGTGAAGACAGCGACGACGTGAAGGCAGCGACGACGTGAAGACAGCGACGACGTGAAGACAGCGACGACGTGAAGACAGCGACGACGTGAAGGCAGCGACGACGTGAAGACAGCGACGACGTGAAGACAGCGACGACGTGAAGACAGCGACGACGTGAAGACAGCGACGACGTGAAGACAGCGACGACGTGAAGGCAGCGACGACGTGAAGACAGCGACGACGTGAAGACAGCGACGACGTGAAGACAGCGACGACGTGAAGACAGCGACGACGTGAAGACAGCGACGACGTGAAGGCAGCGACGACGTGAAGACAGCGACGACGTGAAGACAGCGACGACGTGAAGACAGCGACGACGTGAAGACAGTGACGACGTGAAGACAGTGACGACGTGAAGACAGCGACGACGTGAAGACAGTGACGACGTGAAGGCAGCGACAACGTGAAGACAGTGACGACGTGAAGACAGCGACGACGTGAAGACAGTGACGACGTGAAGACAGTGACGACGTGAAGACAGCGACGACGTGAAGACAGTGACGACGTGAAGACAGCGACGACGTGAAGGCAGCGCCGACGTGAAGACAGCGACGACGTGAAGACAGCGACGACGGCCCAAGTCCCTCTCGACAGCCCCGAACATGCCTTCTTGCCCTGCTTTTATCCTCGTGGATTCTTCGGGGGAATTTCCCCAGCCGTCTATTTTGGACACTCTGGGGAATTCCCCAATCAAGATCCTCCAGACTTGCTGGCGCCCTTGTCTTTGCATCCAGCCTCGCTGACTCCCTGTCGAGACTTGCTGACACAGTCTTTACACATACATGACAGTCGATGTGATGCTTGCAAATTGGGTACGTTCTCAAATCCATGTGACCCTCTCTCTGTCTCAGTTTATGTTGTGACAAAATAGTAAATGTTTACTGCAGCAATGTGTATAACATTGCAATGTGTCTAACACACGCACGCTATCACTGGGGGTGGAACAATTTTAATTCCCCCCTCCCAAGGTGATTTATTTTTTTGCGGCGTGCGCTGTTCAAGCCAACCTACCATTTCTTACCAAAAAAAACCTCGACGCATTGATTAACATCGCCGTCCAAAAAGGAGAAAAAATAAATTGGGCAGCGCTTCAGGCAATGGCTTTTCTTCACAGCAGAGAGCCAGAGAGGCCGGACTAATAGTTGGAGACTACACTATATATACACCATGGAGCCCTGTGCTATGCACTACGGAGCCTTAAGAATGTTTCCAGATGAACAATGTAAAATTGTTATTTTTTAGGGCAGTGCCATTGACGAATGTGTGGAGTTTGTGTTATTTGTGCTTGCGCACCACTGCCAAATGCAGTATCACACCAAAAACAAAAACCTTTCTGAAGAGCGTGGCGTTATATTTATACGTGGCATTATCATGTTTCTCTGCGTGTTTTCCCCCCTCCGCCAATTGTGAATGAATGAGGTGATGGCCCAGACGCAGTCGGTGCGCACGAGCCCCCTGTCCCCACCGCGGGACGGTCGGGCTGGCGCCACGTCTCCCCGGAGCTGCGGGGACCTTAGCGAGCCGGGCCTCGAGGGCCGGCGGCAGCCGTCGGACGAGCAGAGCCGGCCACACAGCCACGTGGGCGTCCTTCGGGAAACCGTCCTGTAGCCGCCCCTCGCCTGCCTTGCTCTCCTCCTCCTCCTTAGCCCTCCCCCACCTCGCCTGCCCTCCAATCATCTCTCGTCTCCTCGCCTCTCCTGCCCTTCCCTGCTCTCACATCCCCTCGCGTCCCATCTCATTCCACCCCCTTGTCTCGCCTCCAATCCCCTCGCCTGCCCTTCTCTCCCTTGCCCAAACCCTGCTCTGTCCTTCCCTTCGCATCCCATCCCACCTCTTCCCCTCGCCCCTCAGCCCCTCCGCTCCCAGCCCCTCGCCCGTGCCCGTTGCCTTGCCATGTCTCGGCACAGCTGCCTACTCGAGAAGCGACCGGTGGCTTTGTTGTCTTGCCATGACTTTTGCGGTGCAGTGCACTGTTGTTGTTGTTTGTGGTAAATATTGGAGGTGTTTATACGGAAGGTGCTGCCCCGTTGTTGATTGTCTTTGAAAGCATCGACTCGCGAGTGCATTCGCTGCTGCTCTCCTACAGTCGACGTGCCAACAGCTGATCGCAGTCCGAAAAGTGCAGTACACGTCATGTAATAGGAAGCTAATACATGTGTTTGATTTGTTGATGTTTACTTTTTTAGGTGCACGCTAAAAAGTAAACATCGTGGCTGCGCTCTGAAAAGAACGGTTTCTTTTGTCGCTATTTGAATTTGATCAAATATAGTGTATGATACTCTTTGGTTCTTTCGGTAAAGAACCAAAGAGTATGGATTCCTGCAGTCACGAAAGCTTCAAATCAATATAGCCTATGATATGCGCTAGATTCTCTGATGAGTGTAACACAAAAGATTTGTATAACATTGGCACAAATTCCCAGTGGTAATCTTTGCGGTCCCTGAGAAAGGACTCGCAGACAGAACACGTTCCCCAACTGATGCAGCCCCATCATCCCAATAATACATGCACGCACACGTACACGCTTGATGAATGGCAACAGGTTACTGTGCCTGCAGGGGAGGGATGCCTCAGAAACACTTAAATCATTATCGATTGAGCAGTACAATTGTTGATGTTAACAACGGAGGTTTTTTTTTTACAAGTGGAACTCACGATTCAACCGAGTCCCGTTTTGCACACCTGTTTGGAACCCATGTGCTTCTCACGATGCCTACGTAACGCACACGGTCGCCGCTTGGTCACGTAATGTTGTCGTCTTGGCATTTCATGCTTCTGAAGCTTGACGTGTATACGTCTTCGGCTCGTAGCAGTCTGGATGCTGCCGTGGTATAATGGTTAGCGCACGACCCAGAGGGGGTCGCCCGTTCGATTCCATCTGCCAGCGCGGTAGTTGAAACTCGCGCTAAAATCGGCATCATTATATGAAGTGTCACCCACTGCTCTGTTTTTGTCTTTGCCGAGACCTCCAACGATAATTAGGAATAGGACTAATGCAAATAATTCCCCATCTGGTTGATATATTATTAATTTGGGGTGTAATAGGTTGCAGGACATGCAATGGAATGCGATGCCATGATAAAGTGCTCCCCCCATCTATTGCTGGGAGCACTTCTGTTGGTTCTGCAGTATTTTATATCGTTGAACGCGTGTTTGTGATGCATTGAAAAGGAAGTGCTGCAGATACTGTGGTGTGAGAGTGAAATGTTACATCTTTTTCAATTATGCCTACTGACACCACATCAAGCGCCTGGATCATCTGTTTTGTTTGCATTCAATGAGATTCATGTACGCTCGGAATGTCCCCCGATTTGCCGATAATCTGGGAGGACAGAGCCTTGATAGGAAACGTCAGACGATCTGAAAAACTCGACGTCACGTCCACGCTCTTGCCGCCTAAAAGCAATGCCACGTGGCATGGTTGTGAGACGTCCCTATCGGTAGCGGGAATACTTGGTATGTAATAAGTAAATGATTGGAACATTTGGAAAAGATCTGAAATTATTCTTCAATTTAAATAAAATGTGAAACTCATCGCTCATATACAGGTTGGTTAAAGCAAATAAGGTGACCAATTATTTACATGTCACAATATTACCAAGATAAATTCAATTTAACGTCCTATCCCTCTAACAGCAGATTATGTGCACCCGTTGTATATTTTTTACGCATCCAACTATTCCTCAGCATTCGGCGTCATCTAAACAGCCAATGTGTGGGTCATACTTCTCCAAGCAAGCGTTAGCTTCAAACTGTGCCTCGTATTTCCCCGTGAGATTATTCTAAATCTGTGTTTGTGCCCATTTTGCGCAATCGTGGTGAAATATTGTCTGCGGGCTATAAATGCCGCTGCAAATCCTCAATCTCGGTAACATAAATTATTATTAGATAATATTATTATCTAATAATAATTTACTGCCATTGCCTTCCCAATGCAGCCGCGATTCATACAACAGCGGTGCGTGCACGCGTTGACTTTATTAATCTGCAAAAAACAAACCCGTTGCTTTCACGCAGTAAAACACTTTGTTCATCGCTTCATTTAAAAACGGGCAGCAGAGTTTTTTTTTGCAGTCGCTGCAGCAAAAAAAAACCACGTGCGAAAATGCTCTGCGTTATCATTCACCGTACCGTAATAATGAGAGCCTTGCCCAACCCAGGTGTTAAACTGAAACATCACTTCATCATCACGAATATCCTGCCTTTTCGCCTGCAGAACTACATTATTTGGCCTTTAGGAAGGGTGCATTAACATATTAATGGCATCTTGCTCATCGGTAAGACTCCATTTCAATTCCATGGTTTCGGAAGGCATATTGTCCTTGGTGTAATCGTGAGTCAGCTCGGTGGGGTGGGGGGCAGTTTGTTATGTTGGCTCACTTCCAATGATGGGACGAGAGTGTGCATGTGCACACAGCCCCATCGGTGAGCTCCTCCGGCTGCATTGACTGGGTCATGTAGCCCGCATGCCCAGCCACAGAATGCTAAAATAAGCTTCTGCTTGTCTGAATGGAGAGGGATAAACGGACGTGGCACGGGCTAGAGAAGAGATGAACTGATACGGTACAGAAGGACGTGGATCTGATTGGACTTGCCGATGGCTGGTACCAGCCATGTCAAGATCAGCCTCTGTGGAGGACGTTGCTCCTGGGCAGTTGGAGGCAGTCGCCCTCCAGCAACAACAACGGGGGGCGGAGGAGCGGCGCTCACAACAACGAGGTGGCACAGCGGGGAGCAGAGGTGGTGCATCCGCCAGTCATCGCAAAGTCAGTCAACCCACGGCACCTGGGTCTTGTCCCGTGACCTCCTGCCAGCAGCGAGCCTTGGACACTTCACGTGGCCTCTTGGTGCACCGAGCCTGGCCCAAGCGCCGTGGTGACGCCACCGCCCCTTCAGTGGCCAACGGCGGCTGTTGTTGCCGTTCTTGGGACAATTGGCACACGGAGTGCGACCGGCGCGTACTGAAGGCAAAGGAAAATGAGAACAACAGAACAAATGGCAAAGGAAGCGACGGAGAACAACGCCAACAACACACTTGTTGTTTACGCAAAGAGCTTTGCACTACAAGGCCGTCGCATATTTGCAATACACCCGACTGTTGTAACACACCCGGTCATGTCTGAAATATGTTTTTTTGGTCACCGCATTTGACCATCCGTCTAATTTATTGTGTCGGTGGGTTCCACAAAAGTAACGGCGTGTATCGCATAATGTTGTCTTTTGGCTACGCCTTCTTCATGTGGCTTTGTTTCGCTCTGAGACTGAACTATTGTACACAGACACACACACGTTTAACGTACTCCCGTTGTGCAGTTGTATATTAATGTACATATGGTTTTTTTGAGAAGTGTCAAGTATGCTAATGTTTAGAAGGTCCTTGCCCCGGAAGGGAGTGAGTGTGCCATTGGACATGCTGGTTATTACCTCTGAGGACCAAATTGTGCCGATAATTGATCCGTCTCGCCTGCAGGAAAAAAAACAACAAAGACGTGTTTACACCAACTGCAGCTTCTGTTTATTGTGTATAATTAGAATAAGTGTTGCAAAAAACATGGACACTTTGTACATATGCTGTGTTTATTGTTGTTACATGTTGTCGAGTGTAAATACAATTTGACAGCTGCTGGAAATGTTGGTTTTTGTAACAATCATGCTGCTTAAACAGTGACTTCTTTGTCTCGGTCTCTCTGTTTTGTTTATACACGAAGAGCCATTATTTTTGTTATTAAGATTATTATTAAACAAGTTGAAAATGACAACCTTGCAACATTGTTTCACGCAATTTGGATAACACGTGTTAAAAAAAGCGGATACCACTATTGTTTAAAAAAGCCGACCAGAACTTAATTGAAACAATACCAACAACATATTCTTGGTTCTTTCGGTAAAGTCACGTAGAAGGGACCGTTCGACTGCAACACAAGCAATCATCATCAGGTGTGAAATCCACAGCAAGAATTGTTTTTTATTGTTTTATATATTTTTTCCCTTCTACGTGACTTTACCGAAATAACCAAGAATATGAATCCCTGCAGTCACGAAAGCTTTAAATCAAAATACCAACAACATTAATAATAATAAATCATTTTGACAGATGCATGGTGGCGCTGTGCAAGAGAATTAATTTACCCTCCTCGCAAATGCCGTGAATTGTTGCGATTCAGGATCGCCGGTCGACTCGAGTCGAATCTTTAGTAATGAATTAACAACGAATGGCCAGAGTGAAATCACGTGGACTCTTCACTGTACACAGATAATATATGATTCTAACAAACATTGATATTTTTTTTTACACATGCAATATGATGATGCATCGTAAGCTAAAGGATCAATATTCATTGATTAAATGATGCATCATTGCACGCCTACTTCGTATATAGCTAATAACATGATTCTCTTCAGCTCTAATACCGGAGGTGCATTTATTGTGCACGATATAACGCGAGAAGAGAAACCGTTTCGAGAGGTGAATTTGCTGTGAACGAAGAAGTGAAAACAAAAACTCGTGCATGTGGTCTTCTTGCTCCTTTGGTGGCCCTGATCCATTGGAGGTCATGACACATTCCCATGGTTGCGGCTGTTCTCCAAGAGATAACCCACCAATAAAGTGGCGAAGAGACTCCACACGCATGATGGGTTTTGGTGACTTCCAGCTGGGATTCAAACTTCCGATAATTTTTTTTTTTAGCAGTGGTTCTTAACCTTGACAGCAGCCTTGCACCCCTTTGGTTCTCAATCCTCATTATTTAAAAATATAATGTTAATAAACGCATAGGTTTGATGAAACAAAGTAGTTGTACTTACGTGCTCGTGCTTAATTTATGTTTTAGATTATTTATCTTCGAACACAAATCTGTCCATGTCTAGCACCCCCAGAAAGGGAATCTCGCAAGCCCAGGGGGTGCAGCGTGCACCCCCTGTTAAGAAGAAGAAGCATCACTGGTCTAGAGTCCAACTATCTTACGGTGCCACCCGGGCTGGGTGGCACTAAATGTACAGCCCTCTGTCAATCCACCGCTGACTCAAGGAATATCTCTCCAAAGCTGTTCAGTCATGTACCGTAGGCTGTCTGGCCATACTTCACCACGCAGGTCAATGTGGTTTTGTTTAAGGTGGGGAGCGGTATCTGGGACTATTTCAAATATCACTCGCCACTGATGTTCGCTGTGAGCGGGTATCAAACCCGTGGCCACCTTTGTTCGTAGCATACCGCCGCAACCGCATCACCGCCCCAGATAGCATCACAGCAACATACTCTTTGGTTCTTTTCGGTAAAGTCACGTAGGTAGAAAAAATAATAGATCAAGACGTTTCGGTCGCAACACAAGCGTCCATCTTCAGGTGACGGACGCTTGTGTTTCGACCGAAGCGTCGTGATGTATTATTTTTTCTACCTACGTGACTTTACCAAAGAACCAAAGAGTATGGATTCCTGCAGTCACGAAAGCTTCAAATCAAGAGCAATATACAATTTAAATTATCATTGAGCCTCAACGACGTCTATTATATTTTCATAATACTGGGTGTGGTGCGTGTATGGGCGTGGGAGGGGGGGGGCGAAGGTTGCAGCTGTCGTCTCTGCAATGTGGACATGAAGGTTCAACTTGGCAGCCAACCAAAACCATCAGCCCGCGAGATCAAGCACCGTCTCCACCTGCAGAAACACATCATGGTTGCAGATGATTGTCACTCCATATCATCTTTCACTTTGGGTTCCAGAATTTGCAAATGTGAGGTTTGTTGTTGGCCTGAGGAGCTTGAAGAAATTCTAGATTTGAAGCTTTCGTGACTGCAAGGATTCATACTCTTAGTTTTTTCGGTAAAGTCAGGTAGGTAAAAAATGAAATTAAAATTAATACAAATAAAATAATGGCTGTGACGGTCCCACCTGATGACGGAGACTTGTGTTGCCTCCGAAACGTCGTGATTTTTATTATTTTTATTAATTTTAATTTCATTTTTTTCCTACGTGACTTTACCGAAAAAACTAAGAGTATGAGCTTGAAGAAACTTAAAAAAGAACTCCAGTGTTGCCCATTTCGGTTACCAGCCATATGCTGAAAGTGATCTTCAGGCACATTCGAAAAGTAGTGATTTAAAAAGTTTAAATCGTTTTTCGACTTGATGTTAAAACTTTTAAACAATCTGGGAAGGTGGTGATTGTGTGCTAGCACCCACAGGTGTAATTTGAAGGGCAGTTTGTTTACCGTGTATTTTGTGTGAGAATATTTGCTGTGTTTACTCACAATAGCCTCGCAGATATTTTCACTGTGGGAGGTGCTTGGCCAATTATGTTTTTATTCGGAATATTTTCTTTTTGGTCCATGGGGGGAAAATAAATCAGGTCTTTGCTGGCTGAGATATCAAGTTCACTTCTCTCGTTCAAAAATTTCGAAACACCTTCTCGTGTCTGCACCTTTTCCCTACCATTTCCCCTCCCCCCGTTAAAGCCACACATTAAAATGTTGCAATTAACTTTAGAGTAATTTATTAGTTGAGTAATTGCCTCGTACATTTATCACAAACTGAAAAAAAAAAACAACGGGTCGTGAATGTGGCTTCTTCATTTCGTCATTTACAGCACCACCATTAAGCCATCATTCGACACACACACACACAAAATACTCCGGGGAGCAATTTGTAAGCCTGGACCATGTGAAGTCCATCCAATTCGCGAGCCATCATGTACGGATAATTATTACACTCGCGCAGTGACAGTCCCTTTAATAGCCCGCAGCAAAGTGGAGCTTTCCCTACTTAGCCATGTGCTCATTAATTGGAAAACAAGGACTGCGTGTTTCCCCCCAACCACCACAATGACCGTATTCTCCAGATTCTGAGACGCATTTCCCCCTGCTGTATTTTGAGCAAACGTTGGGGGGGGGGGGGGGGGGTGCGTCTTATAATCCGGTAGGTCCGGTAGGAGTGTGTCCATGTGTGAGCAGGTTTGTATCGCATTTTTACTGGTAGGAACCTCCTGGTTACATCAGCCCACAGAAGATTATTGTGTCCGTCCGTCGTGCAGGGAGGGGCTGGGTGGGGAGGGAGTGGCTGGGTGGGGAGGGGAGGGTCGAGAGGGGCAGGGTGGGGAGGAGAGGGGTTGGGTGGGGAGGGTGGGGAGGGGCTGGGTGGGGAGGGGAGGGGCTGGGTGGGGAGGGGCTGGGTGGGGAGGGTGGGGAGGGGCTGGGTGGGGCTGGGTGGGTGGTGGGAGGGAGGTGCTGGGTGGGGAGGGTGGGGAGGGGCTGGGTGGGGAGGGTGGGGCTGGGTGGGGGGTGGGAGGGGTGGGGCTGGGTGGAGAGGGGCTGGTCACTCCGTGGTGCCCTTATAAAACTCAACGTTTAACCTACTCACGCCGGCTTGTGTCCGCCCTCACAGTCGGGCATATTTGCGGAATACACCACGCCGCCGTTGACCCTGGCCATTGACCGAGCAACCCAACGTTCCTACCAGCTCCCTCCGCAGGAATGTGTTTGTTTGACACTGCGAACGCGCTTACTTGATGCGTCTTACTTTCCGGGGCGTCTTACAATCCGGAGAAAGACGGTGATCAGAATGATGCACGACTAAGAAGGCGAGTGTGGAGGCTGCTGGGCAGGGGCGAGTGCTGTGTTCGCCGACGGTGTGTAATGACAGCATCTATATGCGCGCAGGTAAATAGGCACCCGCTTCGTGATTAATCTTGCACGACTGTCAAACGAAAACAACGATCCCAGCAGCATGCAAATTAACAGCAAGCAGATGCGCCCAGTCTCGGTGTACGAGTCAAGCACACTCCATTGAAGTGGCCGCGCTGGGGTGTTATTTTGTTTGCTAAAAGGACGTTTACAAGTGTTTACCATTTGCACGAGTTGCAGATCACAAACACTTACATCTCTTTCTGCTTCCTTATCCATGGCACTGCGCGACTTTGGAATAACCACCCCATCATCTTTTTTATCCAAGTTCTTATAACCTTTTCTCAATTCAAGACACGCAATTCGACTCTTATCTATAACAATTTCAACAGTGCTGTTTGTTGTTGACCACTTGGCGATCAGGGATTATGGACCCCTCCCCCCACTAATCATAGTGATATTAAGCCACAGCGGTCACGAATTTGTGAATAAATCCACAGGGTATATATCGTTAGTCACGTGACTTTTTTACAATTAATAATAATTATAGTTCAATTTGTAACGCGCGCAAATTTGCAGACGTAGTGGCCGCAACTCAGAGGCGCGGAGCCAAGCTCAGAGTCGCTCGAAAGCATAATTGTAGAGGTGAGTTTTTAAGTCTCTCTTGAAGGAGGCGATTGGGGTGATGCTGCGAATGTGCAGAGGGATGATATCGTTCCAGACTGTTGGGGCTGCCACCGAGAAGCGGCGCATAGACGTGACCATCCTGGATCTTGGTATCAAGAGGAGGTCGTGAGTTGCGCTGCGCAGGCATCTGCCGTGTGCTGAGCTGCAAGTTGTCAATAATGAAGAAAGGTACGGCGGGCAGGCGGATATGAAGGCATTGTGGCAGAGGCACAATGTATTTAATTGCACTTTGTATTTAATGTAGCGTGTAAATGCGACCAACAGCATCCCAAGAAGTTGAACAGAAACAGTGGGAAACATTCTTACACGCCCTCCCAAAACTCGGACAAGAACCTGGTTCCCTGATCGGTGAGTGGCTAAACTGTAG